AAACATAGTGCCTGTGTGGAACATATACAACCTGTTTCCATTCTCTTCAAAATACTACAGTGAGACAACTATTTACACAGAATCTACATTGTACTAGTGCTGTGGGATGTTCTGTATGGCAAATGTGTTGCTAATTAGTCAATAAATAAAACACTGATTGGCCATTGGCTAGGCAGGAAGTGTAGGCGGGACAAGGAGGAGAATAAAGCTGGGAAGTGGAAGGCTGAGTCAGAGAGACACTGCCAGCCGCCATGAGGAGAAACAGCATGTGAAGATGCCGGTAAGCCACAAGCCATGTGGCAAGGTATAGATTAATGGAAATGGATTAATTTAAGCTGTAAGAACAGTTAGCAAGAAGCCTGCCACGGCCATACAGTTTGTAACCAATATAAGTCTCTGTGTTTACTTGGTCGGGTTTGAGCGGCTGTGGGACTGGCAGGTGAGAGAGATTTGTCCTGACTGTGGGCCAGGCAGGAAAACTCTAGCTACATACTAGAACTATTAGTAATCTAGGGAGTATTTCAAGTATACAGGAGGAGCTGGTGAGATGACTCAGTGGTAAGGGCACCTGTTGCCAACCTTGATGACCTAAGTTTGATTCCCAGAACCCACAATGGCAGACAGAGATAAAACTGACTCCCAAAAGTTATCTTCTGATCTCCATATGTATATACAGGGAGAGAGAGAGAGACAGAGAGAGAACGTGTCACATGTGCAAGAGAAATGAATGAATCTAATGAATGTTTTAAATAATCTTTATGTATCTTTGGCGGTGTGAACAAATTACATGCAGTACATCATCTCATATATGAGACTTGAGAATCCTTGGATTTCAGCCTCCTTAGGCTCCTGGAACCAGTCCTTCAGTAATGTCATGGAGTGACTGCATTTAAAAAAAAAGAAGAAGTAAGGAGCTGAGATGGACCAAACAACCTCCAAATTCCTTCTGGATCAACAGTCTATGACTATAATTTCCAGATCAATATATTTTGTCTATGTGACATTCAAGAAGCACACTTGAAAATTTCTTTTTTTATTAAGAAAACTAATTTTTATTTATTTACATACCAATCACAGATCCCCCTCTTCCATCCTCTCACCCTTTCAGCCTCCTCTGGCCCAACCCACCCCCAATTCCCTCCTCCAACAAGGCAAGGTCTCCCACGGGGAGTTAGCAGAGCCTGGTACATTTAGTAGAGGCAGGTCTAAGCTGTGCAAGGTGTCCCATCATAGGTAGTAGGCTCCAAAAAGCCAGCTCATGGACCAGGGATGGATGCCAGGGAGCCCTTAAGCAGACCAAGCTACACAACTGTATGGCTTATGCAGAGGGCCTAGTTCAGTCCTGTGGAGGCTCCACGGCTGTTGGTCTAAATTTCATGAGTTCCACTAGCTTGCTTTGGTGTCTTTATAGGTTTCCTCATCATGATCCCGATGCACTTGCTCACAGAATCCCTCTTCTCTCTCTTTGACTGGACTCCTGGAGCTCAGCCTGGTGCTTGGCTGTGGATCTCTGCATCTGCTTCCATCAGTGTAGTGGGTAGCCATTCCAGCTTTGATCTGGAAGTTCCAACCCCCATTGAGGCTTCGGTAACTGTCACTCCTACAAGGTGGGGCCAAGGGAGGACCTTGAAGACCCGAGATCTGAATGTACCGGCTCTCTTGGTTCCTAGACGCTGGACGCTGGAGGTAGACCTAGCAGAGTTCTCCAGAGAACGCTGCTAGACTGCACGCCACCTTTCCCAGACCCTGTAAACTATCCCTTCACTTGTAAGTTACCCCACAAAATAAACCTCCCTTTTAACTACGTGGAATGGCCTTAATAATTTCACCAATACATCAGTTACTAGGGAAAGGCTCTATGATAACAGTTAGGGTATTCAGCAATCTGATCACTTAGGTAAGCAGATTCAGGCACCCTCTCTACTATTGCTAGTAGTCTAAGCTGGGGTCATACTTGGGGATTGAAAATTTCTGGAGCATTGGAATTATTTTCCTTGTTGTTGTTGCTGCTGCTGCTGCTGCTGCTGCTGCTGCTGCTGCTATTGTTGTTTGCATTTGATCCAACGTTAAAAGGAGCTTGGCTTTCCTATTATTTTCCATAATAAATGACAGCTACACACCCAAGAAGAATTTGAGGGCCCAGCCATGCTACCCAAGTTCACTCTTGGTTCCTTGCCAGAGAAACAGTCAAACATCATCAGAATGGAGGAAGAGTGAATAGGGGGCAACTTATGCAAGGGACAGCTGAAGCTACTACAAGCTTCTCTCAAGGGAGGGTGCCTTACTTTGTTTCCTGGTGATGGCCACTTCCTTGTTTTGACAGATGTGGTTTTCTCCTAGGTTTTTTTTTTTTTTCTTAAGATGCTTACTGGGCTTGCAAAGGAAAACACTGAAGGGATAAGGTCAATAAGCAGCCTCAGCACCAAGACACAGATGCTCCATTGTAATTGAATGAAAGCTCTAAGACCTCTTACAAACCAGCTGTTTCCACTTTAAGCCGCTGGCTTTTTTTTATTTTTATGCAGATCATTTCTGACTTAAAAGTCAATCACAGAAATTACAAAGTGTTTTTACATCTTTCTTTAATATCATAAGTAGTAGGTTTAGAAAAAAGAAAAGAAAAGATGCAATTAAAAAGTCCAGATGAGTTCTTGTCATTGATTTGTCCTTACAATGAAGGGGATCTACCCCAGGCATCTGAGCATGATGTTAGAGATGGGGTGGTATCTGAACTGACAGGCATTTCTGAAAAACAGGTGTCCTGATAAGGCCTCCTGAGTTCTCTAGTGTGGATGCTTCTAATTTATAGGATCATTCCTTTGGGTAAAATTTGCTTTAAGAGCTCCTTCTCCATTGCTGATTCTTAACTGGCCACACATTTCTCTATGAACTCAAAAGTTTAATAGTCATCATAGACAGTGATAGAATGATAATAATAGAATTTTGATAAAGCATGGTTTTACTGATAAGTAATAATTTCCCAAACTGGATGTTCTAAAGGAACATTTTTTTTGTTTTGTTTGGGGGTTTTGTTTCTTTGCTTTAAGGAAGGTTTGAGGCCACGTCACTCATTTGTTAGCACATCCTACCTTTACTCTATTTTCATATATTTACTCTGTTTGTGTCTGTGTGGATGTAATGTTTTTAAATAGCCATATTTAATAGCCCTAGAGGATTAGGAAGAAGGGGGAAATTAAGTGTTTTTTTAATGAGGCAGGAAAGATAAAGGGTTTTAATATAAATACTGAACTTTCCTTTTGTTAACTATTCATACAGAATAGATAGAAAATGGAGAATAGGGCTGGAGAAGTGGCTTGGAGGTTAAGAGCACTGGCTGCTCTTCTAGAGGTCCTGAGTTCAATTCCCAGCAACTACATGGTGTCTCACAACCATCTATAATGAGATCTGGTGCCTTCTGGTGTTCAGGCATACATGCAGGCAGAATACTGTATACGTAATAAATAAATCAATGTTTAAAGAAAAAGGAAATGGAGAATAAAGTTATCAGATACTGCAAAGGAGGAGAATAAAAAAAGAGGATGAAGGTGATGAGGAGGAGAAAAAGAGGAAGATGAAGAGAGAGAAGAAGAACAACAACAACATACCTAAAACACAAGAAGTTCTGATCCATGGGCTACAAGAATACAGAGTCTGAGTTAAAATACATTAATGCGATAGGTTAATAACAACATATACAAGATATTATGTTCACAAGTCTATTTGAAGTGATTTGCAGGTCTCCTCACACTGTATTTGTCACTGTACTGGCCATCTGATAATATGCCAGTTGTAGAAAGCTAGTTTCCCTGAATGTCCATTGGGGGCATTTTACATCCATCCAGTGTGCTGGCTAGTTTTCTGTCCTTTTGAAACAAACTGGACTCATCTGGGGGATGGCAACCACAGTTGAGAAAATACAGTACCTCCATAAGACTGGCCTGTAGGAAAACCTCTGTGGCATTGTCTTAATTAATAATTGGTGAAGATGGAGGGCATGGCCCATTGTGGGTGGTGCTACCCTGGGCAAGTGGTACTGGAAAATATAATAAAAACAAACTGAGTAGGCAAGCCAGTAAACAGCACTCCGCCATTGTCTCTGCTCCAGTTCCTACCTCCAAGTTCTTGCTTGAATTCTTGGCCTGACTTGCCTTAATGATGAACTAAGGCCTGAGAATTGTAAGATGAAATAAATCCTTTGCTCCCCAAGTTTCCATTTATCAGAATGTTTTACAACAGCACTGGAAGCCTTAACTGAGACATACAGGGAATATCACCAGCCAGAATGTCTACTCTCTGTACGCAGGCAGGATGCTTTTAAAAGAATATAGGGCCCTAATTTAACAGTGACAGGTTACTTGGTACATTATCCAGGAGAGTAAGCCTTCATTTAGAGGTTGATTACTATACTTAACCTTAAAGTGAACTGCTTTTGTTATGAAGGAAATAGACCATCTTACAATGTGATAGTTTACTTGAAAATATAGTAATATAATTTTCTATGATGCAGGAAGGTCTGTGTGCTTGAGGAGAGGAAAGAATTCCTTTCTGGATTAAGTGAAACCACGGGATAAAAGAAAAGGTCTTGCGATGTGGAATTAAGATTAAATTAATCATCTTTCCCTCATTAAGCATATTATTTTACAGAGTCATTACATATATTCAAATCATATTGCACAGGATTAAGAGGATTAGAGCCTACCCTAGCTTCTTTGTCTGCCGAGGGCCGCAGCTAAGAGTTTACTGAGAGGGGAATCAAGCATCCTGCTAAGAAGCCTCCCTGGAAAGAGGAAAAATGAAAGGCTGATGACAGACACATACCTGTACGTGATGCCAATCTGCTTGATCTACAGGAACCAAGGGCTGCCCTGAAGGTAATGTCTGCTTTTTCCCCCCTTAGTTCATTTTCATAACATGATATCTATTTTTTGAAAGACACATGGGCAGGCAATCTCAATAGCTGTGTTGGTGGCATCCACCTGCATTCCTTTCTTCTAGAAGACATGGTCCTGGCTGTTTGGTTGGTCTCCTTCACCTACACCTGGATTGCATGGCTGCCGGATGCTTCTGCTATTTCTGCCATCAAGAGGCACCATCAGCAGTGCCTAGCTTCAATGAAACAAACACGGTAAGATACACATCAATAGTTTCCTATTTTCTCCCCAACAACTGCCTCAGACCTTCTGCTGGTCTTGAAATATATCTTTAAGGGAAGCCCATCTCTGTCGCTGTCCCTGTGTTTGCAGTAGCCCTGACTCATCAGAATAAATCACCTCTGGTTAACATCCAAAAGCATGGGCTCTTCCATCTTTGGCATTGTTTGTTTAGCTGTATTTATTTGGGGAGAAAATAGTTAAAAGTTTCACATATGGATAATCCTTCAGGGAGCTTGTTTCCTCAGTGTGGAATGCACTGATCATTAATAACGATACTTGTTCACAGTTTCTTCAAATTTTGAATTAGAAGTAGTTTAAGAAACAACTTTCCATGTTAATTTTGTGGAGGGCAATATAGTTTTATACACTGAAGAGATAGTGTAAAAATAGCATCAAGACCATTTATTATCTTTTGAAAATAGCATTCATATATTTAAAATATCTTTCTGAAGATCAATGCATCATTGTTGTTATTTTCCCAACAATAACATGAGATGCCTGGCTATAACCAGGAGAAATCAGTGCATTACAATAACCAGGGCATCCCAACTTGCCTGTGGCGTCCCAGGTTTCAGTAAGAGCACCCCGAATCCCCCAGCCTTGGACAAGTCAGTCATCCATAGAACGTCCTTGCAAAAGTCTTCCTTTTTTATGAGAGTTCTCAAAAGATCTAGCCTGTGAAGTGGTAGATGTCGGACAGCTTGTCCTTATAACCTCGCATATTCATGAAACACTCACCACCAGATCAGGAAAAAGAACAAAACATTTAACCAATGCCTTCAGATTCCTTGGATTTAAAGAAGACAGGAACTGTAGTCCCAATTCCCGGTCTGCTTTGTACTTTTAAAATATATTTTTAGTTGAAATAGAATTACATCATTTTCCTCTTCCCTTTCCAATACCCCAACATACTTTCAAGTTCATAGACTCTTTTTCTTTGACTACTATTGTTACACACACACACACACACACACACACAATGTTTATATATAGTGTGTGTATGTATGTTTGGGGTATGTATACATGTGTGTGCACAAATATACAAATACAACCATTTTGATTCCATCTTCGTTTTTTATGTGTATATGGTTTCAGGGTCCACCACTCTTCATAGGACAATCAATAAGGGGGGAGAGGCTAATTTTCCTTCTTCCAGCAGTCTTTGCTAGGAGTGGGACTCCATGAAATCTTCCACGTTCCACATTAGCATGTCCATTGGTAATGCCATTGCTCCAGTCTTGTCTCTGTAGCCATTTCTAGGAGAGGCTGTTTCACAGCAGACTTCCTGCTATTTGGCTCTTACAGTCTTTCCACCTATGATCCATGGCAATGACCAGCATGGCAAGATAGAGTTAAAGGTGCATTAAGTGTCACTCACATGTTGGTGCCAACCAATAGCTGTCTGACTGGACTTGAAGGCCCACTCAACAGGAGAGAAATCATGCCTGGCACTGGACCTGGTCAACTTCCCAGAGCTCGTGAGGTCATGGACCTGGGAAGAAAATCTACTAATGTCGCTTTGGTCCTACGTTTTAAAGTATACCTCCTACACTTTCCTTCCATTCTGTTCTCAGCCCACAGACCTGAGATGACACAGGGCCTAGTTGAGTTTAATTCCTTTCTGGACCCTCTCCAAAGAAATTAAACATGAATGCAAGATTATGCCAGTCTATGTGTAATTTTTGTTTTTGTTTGTTTCAGGTTGCTCCCAATATTCATGTAGTTTATTTTATAATAAATGGAGAGTCTATTAAATATCATCGATGATTTAAGGCAATAGATTTTTTCTGGCTGTCCCATAGATGCTTAAGGAAGGAAAAAGTATATTATAAAAGCTATTCCATCATACTAGTCCACATTCATGGCATGGTATCTATGAGAAAAAAATTAAAACTACCACACAACTAGTGTCTATCATTCACTTACATCAATAGGAGGGAGTTAGACAGGAACACACAAGCCAAGCCCTATCAACAATCACTGAAGAAAGGGGGTGACTCAGAAGGCCTTGCCTCTGTCTCTGAACTATTTGTCATCAGCAGATTCTTGGAGAAAAGGAATCACTGCCTTTAGTTCTGTGCCCTCCGTTCAGCCTGCCAGCCTTCAACAGAGAGCTCCAGATAGCCTGGTTAATTAATCTCAGTGGGCTATAAAACAAAACAAATAGACGTGTACATGGGAGAGAAATTTTTTTTCGAATGGTGGGGAGTGAAGAGTGGTGGTGGGGAGGTGGGAGTTAGGAGTTAAAAGTGGTCAGTGTGCAAGGTGTGCATGTATGAAAGTGTAAATAATAGTAATGATTTTAAAAAGCTACACTTATTGCTTATTACATTTTTTTAAGTCAACAGGGAACACAAAGTCTTTCTGGTAAGGAGGGAACCTTTTCCTTAGGTTAAATGCCTCTTTTTGTTTCCTTCTAAAAGAAAAGCAACTTAAGGGTTGTATAGGTCAGGTTTCCTCCAGGGGAAACACTGGGGTTTCTACTGTCTGAGCTCCAAATGCTTGTTTTCCACTTCTCTGTGTTCTAACTGAAGAGCCCTTCAGGCCACAAGCCAGAATATGATTCATTAAAATTTATATCTGCTGCTTTTGTTCTGCAGTGAACAATCCTCTAGGGCACTGAAGATTGTGTAAACCACCACCCTGGTTCAAAGCAGCTACTTAGAATGAAACAGAGGCACTTTCCCTGAGTGAACACAGAGTCAGTTTCTACACTGCTCTCGGCACTCCCTCATGCAAATGTCAAAGCATTTGACGACAATACAGTAATGACTGTCTAGGCTTGTTCCAGAGAAGCAGGGCCAGGCTTCTCCATAATTTTCTAGGAAATAAATATTATGAGGTTCTTTGCTCGATACTCAACTTGATTATCCACAACAAGTAACGGTATAACTGATTAATAATCTACCCCTTATGGTGCAAGAAAACTAACAGAATGGAGATGAGAGAGGAAGGCATAGTCTTTGTTTGAAAATCACACACTTTACTCACTGCTTTGTGTTGTGTCAATTATTCTGAGCCCTGCTTTAATTCAGTCAGGCCTGTTTATATTATTTTAATCAGGCTATTTATTTTTATTTAGATTATAAACTTGATTTTCATCCAAAGGTATCCTTTCCTTAGGCTAAACATTTTAAAAGTCTTATATTCTAATATTCCCCTTGTTTCTAAGAAAGGCAGTGGGGAGGAATTATGAATAAAGAAACTTTTGACAAGTGAAAAATATTGTTCTTTGCCTAGGAAAGACTTCTAGTTCTACTGTAATCATGCTGTCCTTGGGCTGTTAGGCCTATTATAGATCTATGACAGAATTTAGAAATTATTAAACTATCCTACAATAGACCTGTATACATTTTATCATAGTCTCTTTGTTTATTTATTTATGCATACTTCAATGATAACTTATTTAATTGTACGTTTTGTGAGCTAATCTTTATACCATTTTATTTTAAACCAAGCTTATAAGTCTCCTGGAAGCAAGGCGGTGGTGGCACACACCTTTAATCCCAGCACTCAGGAGGCAGTCAGGTGGATCTCTTTGAGTTCAAGGCCAGCCTGGTCTACAGAGCAAGATCCAGGACAGGCACCAAAACTACTCGAAGAAACCCAGTCTCAAAAAACCAAAAAAAAAAAAAATCTCCTGGAAACTGAACATTGGCTCTTATTAACAATTCATAGCAGACATTAGCACAGAACTATATAATAACCTACAGATTATTCTTAAGGCTACAGTTAGTGTGCATTCTTTCAGTATCCCAATCCAAGCCCTGCACTGGTGTGAAAGGTTGTGGAAACATTGGCACAGTTAGCAGCAGATTTAAGATCTTTTTTCAAACAAGATAGGAACTCTAAGTATCATAAAATTTTGTAACTTACTGTACCATGTGAACTCCAGATAACGTCTACAGGCCAACTCTAAAATTGGTCCAGTTTCCTAATTCCATGAGGAAGTCTGAACCCTCAGCACTGAGCTCATGACCTGGTAGAGACCCAGGTGAGATACTGTAGCTGCCATGTCTCTAGTGGAGCACACTCTGGCTGTCTCATCCACAGAAATGTTCACCTGCACAGGTATTTCCTTTATAAGTAAAAGGTATTGACTGCAGTCAGCCTTGAATTCCAGAGGGAGTTCAGGTGTCTAGAAGCTGCTTAGGCAAAGCCCAGGGGCTCTTCTCATCCTCTCTAAGGCTTCTCAAAGCATCAGGGACCTAGAAATAAACGTTGAATCTCCAATTAGGAGATCTCCAACAGTTTTCTTAGTGATCAAATAAAGAGGGCAAATGAATTTCCAGTTACTTCACTCTATCATGAATTTGTATCTATATATCCTAGCAGAACCTTTTGACAGATTTTACATTTTTAAAAGAAAAACGTAATGTAATGTATTGTACTATGTGTTAGCATTTAGACCTTACCTGGCTGGCCCCTTGTGGATCTAGCCAGTAAGTAGCAGTACCTTGGCCTGCTCAGGGTCCTGACAACATCAAGTGCTTATTGCTACATGGTCGCTGTGCACATGCTCTGAACCCCCTTTAAAAGGTGGGTCCCACCTACCTCTCTGTCTCTCTCAATCTCTCTGTCTCTGTCTCTCTCTCTGTCTGTCTCTCTCTCCTCTCTGTCTCTGAGGTAGCGTCTGTACCTCCTCTCTTCTCTTTTTCCCCATCTCTTCTCTCATCCTCTCCTCTTATCTTCAGAGGCACACTCTATGTCCCTTCTTCCCTTCCCTTAATAAAATCCTCTACATGAGTGCTGTCTGCATGATGTGAGTGACTTTCCACCGCGCCCCTTGGCTCCACCGCCAAGATCATGCCACGCCCTTTTTCAATACAACAGCTGCTATTCTGTTATTATATAGAATATAAAATAGTTTATAATAACTATTCCATGCATTATAAACAATATATAATTGCATATAATTATAAATATATACAAATACTAGGTCAGGTTTTCAAAGCAAATGCCTGTATTCATG